CCCCAGGGTGCTGGCTGCGCTCCTCGCCAAAGCCGCCCCGCCGCCAACACGCCCGCAGCCCCCGCACCCCTCCGGGGGGTGAGCTCCCCCTGCCCGCCCGCCCGCCCCTCGCACCTGGCTGCTGCGAAGGGTTTAATCCGCTTTTATAAACAGCAGACAGCTCTTCCCCTTCAGCCGGGAGAAGTGCAGGGGGTGGGGGGCAAGATTTCCATGCACCGCTCGGGTTGCCTGGACTCTTTGCATGCAAAGAGACAAAACAAATATTTTCTTTTGGACTGGGCAGATCGCAGTGCAGCCGCGGGAAGGAGGAAACCCGCCTTCTATTATTATGCTTTTAAGGGTGGCAAGACCCTGTGCGGAAGGGAGTTGGGGTGAGAGAGAGAGAGAGAGGAAGGGATTGGGGGGGCTTGGTGCACAGACATTGCTGGTGGGTTTTTTCGAGAGAGCTGCAAGAAAGGGACCTTTCACCTCTCATTAGTGATGCCATCAGTGCTTTGGCAGAGCAGAGCTGAGGTCATGTTACATATGGCACGCAGTCTGTTCAGCGCTTGGAACATCAGCTTTGAAATTTTAGAGAGGGGAAAGGTCATCTTTAATAAGCTGAAGTCTGGGGGTTCTCAATTCTTTCCCTGCAAGCTGAGTGGGTGTCCATATGCCTCCGTCCTCTCCAACCCTTGCTCTATCTAATTGGAAGAGATGCTTCCCGGATTTTCACTTTTTGCCTCTTAAAATTCACTTAGAATGGGTTCATTTGTGCTCTCGAGTTGCTTTTTCTTTGGTCCTCAGCGGGCAGGTTCTTTTTGTGGCTGGTGTTTGATTTTTTCTAGTTATAAACTTGCCTATTTATTTGGTAAGGAGTCAAGATTTGTTTGGTAATCATTTTTATTGGACCAACTACGCACTTGAGAGAGATGTTAGACAAAGTTTTGGGCATAAAATGCCCTTCCTGAGGTCCTCGGGCATTTTTTATTTTCTCCTGGAAACACATACCATAGCTTTCCAGTAGAAAATAAGGTGTTTCTATATATCGGCGCACATGAACGCACCGTTCCTAGTCCTAGTACGCTGTGTAGTTACATGGCCCATCAGAAGCAGCATGTTGCAGCAGTTATTAAATCCCTGTTTCTGAATCCTCCTGGTGTAATAGAGTATTTGAGCTTTCATGCCATGGGGTCTGGTGAAAGCACATCTCGGCAGCCACATTTCTTTCACTGCAAGAGACAAACAGGCAGACTCAAGATCCATCTTGTGTTCATCTCTATTTATGCTTTATTTATTCTTTTAAATAAAAACACAGCTTTCTCAAGAGCTAAACCTTACCAGCTTTTCTTTTCTTTTCCAAAGATACAGATTCTTTAGCTCTTAAGGTGGCTCTAAAAGGAGAATTGCTTGTATGAGGCTGATCCTGAGACCATTTCGGAGGACATTTACTTGGACCAGCCATTTTTAAATAGAGATGCTCATGTACAGAATCAGGGAGACAACCCAGCCAAACCAACGTGCGGCACAGAATCAGAAATCTACCTTTATTCAACAAGAAGTACAGTAAATACATCCAGGGAATCGGATCCGGGCTTCTTCCCAAACTAGTAAGTGTGTTTGTGAATGTTTTAATCCGTAGGTAGGAACAGTTTTCCCCATACAACCGTCAAAAGAGGGTTCAGTAATGGAGGTATTAGCACTGAGGGGGCTCCTGTGGTGAGATACACTGGGGTTTTTCTGGTTTTTTTGATACATTCTGCTTTTAGCCGGGCTGATGTAAATTCATTGATTGAAATGGAGTCTTTGTACGGCCGTGTAAGTGAGAACTGGGCTTAGCCCATCGTTTTCTGCTGTGATATAATCACTGTAGTCAGAAGAGAGCAACATATGTATAATAGCAGCTGAGAAGCAAGATGAACAGAACCTTTCTACCAGTGAGAATCACATTAAATAATTAATTCCCAATTGCCTTTCTGCATTAGTGCTTTCAGCTAAAAAAGCAAGTCGGCTTTGAAGGGCCCCAGGCAATGAAACATTTGGTGCATTGTCAGACCCCAAAGTCTAGGTAATAGATATCCAGAAGACATTGTAAAGACGGTACTCTCCGTTGCAGTTATTTGCATATCCTAGATGTACAGACTCATTCTTCATCCAGCCCTTTCCATAACACACACATCTATATGGTCTGGAAACATCTCTGATGTAGCAACTGAACACATTAAAATAATGTCTGGTCCATCCAAAGCAGAGGGCATCAGGGAACATTAAGTGTGGGAATACCCTAAGAAAATAATTCTATAAAATGAGCACATTTCTCTTACTCTCACACCTGATCCAAGGAAACAGACATTTCCCCACATGCTGGCCCCTCATGCTCCAGCCTGTCGCCTCCAAGCCAAGTTGGGACCTTTCTGGCTCTCACCAACAGTTACAGTTTAGAGCCCGCTATCAGAAATGAGTTAACAAGCCTTCTGGTGGGCAAGCCACCGCAGGGCCAGCTCACCTTCCTGGAAACAGATGGGGGTGGCTGGACTGTAAGGGGCACAGGAACCGCCTCCCTGGATCAGAACAGTGGTCTTCTTCATCCAGTCTTGTTCCCAGCAATGGCCAGCAGCAGAAGTTTAAAAAAAAAGGTGCAAGAAATGTGTCAGGAGGCAGTCGTGGCACAGAGGACGGCCTTTGCTCTGCAGCTGAGGTCTGATGTTCTTCGTGAAACTCTCGGCAGGTTTTTTTAGGGACTTGACTGTCACAGGCTGAGAGAGTCTTGCTATCTCTGAGTCCTGCTTAAGTCTTGCCCTCAATGATGTCTTTGTTGCAATTAATTCATCGGGCCAATTAAAATATGGAAAATACTTTGTTTTCCCTAAGTTTTTTGTTTGTTTGTATGGTTTTTTGTTTTTGGCATCAGATTACTTGCCGTCTTGTTCTTCCCCGCCATGTATTACAGAAGAACTGGATGGAAGTCCACAGCTGATGTTCTGTGTCCTGTTCACAGGTCCTCTCTTATTCACCTCCTCTCAAAACAACAGGTGTCTTTTTAAACCTGACCTCATAAGGAAGCGCTTCCAGGATGAATCGGTCTCATAGCCCATCTCTAAACACACTCCCTCTCTCTGCTTCATGCTTTTTAAGACAGGATGACAACAGCAAGATTCATTACTTTTAACCAGGCAGCTCTCTACTTGAACGTGTAGAATTGCTGTTAGAGCAGCCAATTCAATCCAAAAAATTGTGTTGGCACCTTCCAGGTGTCGGATGTGCAGGCACTGAAACTTGGGGTGACCCGTTCTCTTGGCCTGGAAGCCAAGCTGCAGCAGCTGCCTGATGAGGAATTGTATTTGTTTGCTGTTTTACAGGGGTACGTGGAGCCCCCACCTGAGATGGGCTGCCTGCTTTTGTCCTAGGCGCTGGATGTCTAGAAGAGAGAGTCCGTGCCCTAAAGAGCAGACCCTCCAAATGGACTAGACAGTCACAGCAAAGTAGAGCAAGATGAAATGATTCATCCACAGGTTTTCTGAGGCCCTGGCCAATGCCCACATCTCAGAGAAAGATTGAAGAGTGGCCACGATTGTCTTTGGCTTCTCTCTGAAGTCCTTCGGTGTCATTTGATGTGAGTGCTTTTGTCACATTCACCGTAAGGCATTCC